TCCCAGTAAAAGCATTAATCGATACAACATCTAAATCCAATACTATTAGCAGGCGCTTGTATAGTAAGCTTGAGTCTGATCACAGATTAGAAGGTATACCTGATGAAGATATAATAGGCGAAGAAATAAAAGGCCTAGATTTACAATTCCGCTATAAAGGAAAGTGGTGAAGCTTAGATGATACCGAAGTAATAAACTTTCAAATTCACAAAAATCCATTGTTCGATCTGGTATTGGGACAAGAATGGTTATGGATGCATAAAGTAAAAATTATCTTTGGATTTTCTCCCAGAACCTATGAACACCGCGATAAAATTGTAATAGATAATATGAGTATCCCATTGATCGAAGGAGATGGCAGGCCCATGGACGACTTGAAGAGTTATAAAACTAGCTCTGGTAAAAATAACTCACCTAAGTTCAATCTATCAAAAAAGGAGATCACAAATATAACCAAAAAACTTCTTTCAAACGCCAAAGATAATAAATACCAAAAGAGTCATCATGGGATATTTCACAACATAACTCCTGTACCTCCACCATTCAGAAGATTAAATAATGATGTACCCAAAAATAGCAGAGCTAGCAAGAATAAGAAATATCATAAAGTAGATTTAGGTGATAGGTGTGAAAAGTTTTCATTAAAAACGCACCTCAATAATATTTGGAAGTCAGTTCATTCTATAGAAGATGATATATATTATGGAATTTTTAAAAGACTTTCTAATATTGAGAATGAACTGAGGTGTGGAAAGATAGAAGAATTGGTACGGCTAAATGATAATAAGTTAGATCCTTCTAATTCTCGCTTACGTCAAAATAAGAGCAAGAAAGGTAGAGTCAAGTATTCCACAGATTTGAATACTGACACTTCTGATACAAGTACTTCTTATTTCTCCAATTCAGGTTCGGAAGGTGTATGTAAGATCACAGTTGTAAAAAAAACGAAAATGTTACAAGAAATAAATTAATCATCTGGTAAGTTTTTTAATCGACATATAAAGTGTGACTTAGATTAACTATTTTTACGTATTACGTTTCCATTACCCGTGATCAAAGCATGTGTTTGAAATAACGTGGCATATAGAAGAATAAGCACTTTACAGGTTAGATTCACATGATTTTTGTGTAATCTAATTTTTCACATATATTCTGATTCAGTATTTTTTATTAATTTTAATGTTTTTTGTCAATCCTAAATTTAACTTTCCTATATATTGATTCTACTATAATAAAAACCTTATCTTTCCTTGTGCCATTTCAGATATAATTCCAATTCGAGTTGGAATAATTTTCGAGCGATATGTGAGCAGGTATATAGGTAATATGAGGTGAGAAAAGATAGGTGTTTTCAGAAACTTATATGAGTTATGTCTACCAATATTTCATGCTTCGAAACTTTTGCCTTAAATATTCTTAAGGATTCATCCCCGGAAAAAATTGCAAGCAATATTAATATTTCCAAACTGGACCCGTGCTCGTTATGCAATCAAGAACTTTTTTTGTTTGAAATAAAAAACTCGATTACCATACTAGTCTGTGGTCATATATATTATCGTGATTGTATCGAAACTTTTATCAAGAAACGTTCAATGTGTCTAAAGCCTGATTGCAAGAAGGAGGTAGAATCTACGATTGACAGCATGCCTAGAAGTCTGAATATTAATGATCTTATGGATATATCCCCTATACTATTTAATGACCCTCAACTATATGAGAGTAGCTCACAGAAAAAATGTACCAGTGAATCTGTATCGGTAAGAGAAATCACAATTAAAAGATTAAGAAGGCCGATGGAAGGAAGGACAAAGATTATTCCATGTTGAAAAAGCTTATTGAGGAACTGAAATCGTCTAATTCTTTAAGTAGTACTGTATCTCAAACTGAGTATATAACGAGACCAGGTAATTTTACTGATTTATACAATGCAATTATTAAGGCCGAGGAGCAAATTGGAAGTACAAATCAAAAAGTTATTAGAGCATATTTTTTGTTTGGAAAGAAGCTTGAAGAGAAATTGGCAGAATATATAAAAACTAATAAAGAGCGTAAAGCTCAGAGATTGCTTATCAAAGAAGTGTCAGCGCAACTACCATCTGATCTATTAAAGAATGCAGTAGAAAAAAGAATAGAAAGGGCGAGAAAAATTTATGATCTGTTTACTACGATTGGTGAGGATAAAATAGAAAGGGTTAAGTCATATTCAGCATTGCGAATCTCTAAGTTAAGCTGGGACGAGATTGATGCTATAGTAGAGAAATTTGAGGAAGTATAGCTTCGAGTTTTCAACTCATCCTGGTTACTGCGTCACAGGCACATGATTTTCACTGACCGATCGGTCAACGAAAATGTAAAAGTATTAATCTTTCTATCTTTTATTTATATACTGTATAATAATGAATTAATAAAGTATCCATTTATATTAGCTGGCAAAATTAAATTTTACTTGTAATGATGCTAATTTACCCGAATTCTGGTTTATTCTTATTATAAAATGAAATGTAAATCATAATGGTAATAGATGACTTTAACTATGTATAACAATTAAAACTTTCCTTGATCAGAATAAAAGAGCAATAAAGATATACAAACTATTTCTCAAATAAAATTAAACGGATTCAATCTTAAGGCAATACAATTTTGAAATTAATTTTGTAAACTCACATGTACAGTGGGTGATCAAAAATCACCGGACAGTTGAAAATTTTTAAAAAAATTACTAAAATTAAAATGCTAATTG